GATGGACATTCCCAGCAGCCACAAGGCCCTGCTGGTGCCAGCACTCATCCAGGAGCAGTGCCTGGCCACAGGGAGCTCTGCCTTTTCCATCTTCCAGGTCATTCCTCTGCAGTCTGGCCTCCAAGTGACCGTCAAACTCCAGGGTGGGCTGGGGCTGGACATCTCAGCTGACATGGACGTGAGCATTTGGGAGCAAGAACTGAAAACCAGCATCAATGCCAGGTCAGCCTGGCTCTGGGAATGGGAATACCTGGGGGGCAAGGGTGGATTTCCACTGCTCCCTGCTCTTCTCCTGGTGGGTCCAGCCTTTCCTGATGCTTACACAGACATTTTCCATGGCCAGACTTCTAACTGAGGGGTTTATGGAGTTGTTTGGTGCCCAGCTCAGGCCATTGCTCCATGATCAGACCCTACATGCTTCTCTCTCCCAGGGGAAGCCTTGCCATGGATTTCCAGGCAGAACTGGATTCCCCTTTGCTCCAAGCCACCCTGAGGAGCCAGACAGAGGTGGAGACCTCCATCCACTTTGACACCCAGCTGAGGTTTTCCAGCAGCCCCGTGCTCATGTGCCTGCAGCTGAGAGAGGAGCAGGTCCCATACAGGTAGCACCAGATCCTGCAGAAACATCCTGGTGGGCTTGAGAGAAAGGAGGGAAGAGGAGAGAATTAATGGTTGCACTTATTAGGTGGGAATTGGTAGGGGTGAGGGAGGGGCACCACAAGTTTCTGATATGGGCAGAAGCATCATCTGTGATGGTGTTTACTTCCCTTGGATGAGGGAAGAGATGAGGATCTGACTCCATGTTTCATAAGGCTTGATTTACTATTTTATTGCATATATTACATTAAAACTATACTAATAGAGTAGAAGCAAGGATTTCATCAGAAGGCTAGCTAAGCTAAGAATAGGAAAAGAAAGAATGATAACAAAGGCAGCCGTCTGGGACTCTCTGAGCCAGCTGGGCTGTGATTGGCCATTAATTACAAACATCCAACATGGGCCAATCACAGATCCACCTGTTGCATTCCATAGCAGCAGATAATCATTGTTTACATTTTGTTCCTGTGGCCTCTCAGCTTCTCAGGAGGAAAAATCCTAAGGAAAGGATTTTTCATGAAAAGATGTCTCTGACAATCATCCATAAGTGTTGCTCTGATTTTTTTAAGATTTTCTAAGCCTTCTGATGTTTACATTCTTGTAGCAAACTTTCTCACNGCCCCATGGCAGCAGGACCCAGGCTTGTGGGCTCAGCAGAGTCCTTGGAGGCTGAAGCTCCGGCTCCCAGGGCAGTGCACAATTTGTGCCTGCAATAATCTTCCTGTCTGCACAAAACAAACCAAGCACTCATGTTTTTCAGAGCCAAGCAAAAGCTGCGCAAAAATATCTGCCTGGTTTATCTTAATAAGCCAGAGGAAAAGGGAATTCCAGGGTAGCCTATATCTAAAGCTTTCACTTTTTCCTCACACTGCTCTGTGCAGTCAGCGACCAACTTTGGCAAATTATATTTCCTTCTGTGATGACCACTGACCTCTTGCCTTCCCTCCCTCCCAGTGCTGACACATCCTTTCCCTCTCTTTTCCAGGAAGATACTGAAAGACATCATGGGAGACCACGGATCAACAATTACAACTTCTTCTCCAAAGTTGGCATCTCCTCTTCTTTCTCAGGACCTCTGGCAGGTGACAGCACAAGGGACACCTTGGTCCCCTCAGAGGGTTAAAGGACGGGTTGGTGGGAAAAGGCAGCTTCCAGAGGAGGATCCAGGTCTGTAGAATGCCCTAAAATCTCAGGGAGGTTTCTGAGAACATCCCCCAGTACCAGAGATATGAACATGCCCTTCTGCAACACAAACTTTTGCCAATTCCCACTGTTTTGAAAGAGGAACTTCAGCTGGAAATGAAACCAGCAGTAGGTTGGAGTTTCTGTGCTTTCCCTGACAAGTTCCTTTAGTATTTTTAATAAGATCTTCAGAGAGGAGGATTCTTGCACTGAGACTTAAAAGAAAGAATCAAATTTCAGAGACTGCAAAAAGCAGCAATTGCAGCAATTGCTAAATGTCTGCTGAATTCTTCACCCCTCATTTCTGTCCCTCTTCAAATTAGCTCAGTCTGGCCTTGCAGAGAGTCACTGAAGGTGGAACAGCCAGGGAGAAAAAAAAAAACCAACCTTGCAATGCTGAATCATTTGAGTGTTGAGAGGATGCAGAGTGGTACCACAGGTTTGGGTCGGAGGGACCTTAAAGATCATCCTGTTAGCACCTCTTCCACCAGACACCCAGGGGTGCTCATGGGCATCTCTTTGCCCTTCAGTCACCCAGGACCTGACCTCCACTTTTGGGCTGGACCTGCTCTTTTTGGAGGGTGGATTCCTGAGGAAGAGCGTCTCCGACTTCTCCCTGCTCAGCCA